AAAACGTAAACCCCCTGGCCGGCGCTTATGATGGAGACGAGACACCTGTTCCCTCGTTGGGACGGGGCGATTCCTCCCGACCTTTGCTCTGCAACCCTCCTCGCCAACGGCGGCGCTCTTCTCCTGGAGAACGGTCGTCGTCTCCTCACACTCTCCCACGATGCCGTCTACCTTGCGAATTGCCCCGGCGGAGTGCTCGCTGCGCGAGAGGCCACCGGAACCCCCTTATTAACGGATGAGAACTCTGTGACATTCGATGGGGGGTTATCGGAGGGCAGTCCCGGGTTTGCCGACCTACGCGATCCCTTTTACGCTTCTTTGTTTCCCGTGTTTTACGCTCTTGCCGCAACGACCGTTATCGCCTACATGCTCGTCATTATGCTTTTCATAACGCCCCGGACTTTCGTCAACGGCGGAATCGTTTACCTCGGACGCCACAACCGCTTCACGAACAGCTCGCCAAGCGCAGTTACTGTTGGCGGCAGGCCATGGCTGCAAAAGGTAGCTGCGTTGACCGTGGCCATATCCCTTACCGTGGCCAGCGGTGCCACGTTCCACGAAGTAGAGAAGCAATATCAGTGGGGTATCCACGATGCCCACCACCTGCAGGTCGTCGTCATGGACAGCACTGCACTCAAAGTTATCCGACTCATCTCCGACACCTTTCTCTGGCTGGCGCAAGCCCAGACCCTCATCCGTCTCTTCCAGCGCCAGCGCGAGAAGATCATCATCAAATGGGCCGCCTTCGCCCTCATCACCCTCGACGTCATCTTCAGCGCTCTCAACAGCTTTCAAAACACCGACCCTTCCAACCAGGGTAGCAGGCGGCCCCAGACCTTCGTCGACGCCATCCCCGCCCTTAGTTACCTTTTCCAGCTCTCCCTGGGCCTGCTCTACGCGGCCTGGGTCATTTACTACTCGATCCTCAAGAAACGCTACGCCTTTTACCACCCGCTCATGAAGAACATGCCGCTCGTCGCCGGCATATCTTTATTCTCTATTCTTGTTCCCGTCGTCTTCTTCATCCTTGACATCTCAAAACCCGAACTCACTGGCTGGGGTGACTACGTGAGGTGGGTCGGCGCTGCCGCGGCTAGCGTCGTCGTGTGGGAGTGGGTTGAGCGCATAGAAGCGCTGGAGAGAGAGGAGAAGAAGGATGGGATATTAGGCCGTCAAGTCTTTGACGGCGACGATATGGTGGAAGCGACGCCCTCATCAGATACAGCATGGTCCCGCAGATTAAGGAAACAGGGCGATTCCGACGGGGGAAACGACGATGGGGACGGAAGAGGGTCTGGTCCTTTATTATCGACTCGGGGAAGTATAATAGCGTCCCTCGCGAGCCGGTATCGACATCATGCCGGTTCAGGGGCGGCGCATTCTCTTGAGGATGGACGAGGAGGAGGAGAGAGAAATCCACGAACGAGGGGTGGAGACAGAGACGATGGAGAAGCCCTTAGGCCGCCTCCTTGGCCGTCACGTCCTCCGCCAACAGCGACGCCCATTAGCCGCACCGACACCACCAGCGCAGCGAGCACCGCGTACACGGTAAGATACCACGCCCACTCGTCCGACGGGACAGGACGGACGCCAGACCCGCCAAACAACGGCCGCGCGGCACTTTCTAGCAGTAACGGCTCGGACATGAACCACGTGGTCGGCAGCAACACCGAGGGATCTGGTGGAACATCCTCCGGTGGAGCGGCGGTGGGAGGAGCACAGTCCATGCAGCAACAGCAACAACATTATCCACGCCCATCCACCGAGGCCGACTCAGCCGATGGCGGTCCTGCCGAGAGGGAAGACCGATGGCCAAGGCTCACGCAAATCGTCCCCCGACCCATCTTGGGTAGAGCGCCGCCACCACAGCCCGACCGCAACGATGCCGAGGCCGGTCCCGGCTCCGTACGTCACCGACGCGACGACGTCAGCAGATGGGACTGGCGCTCCAAGCTCGAAGATTTCGCCGCGACGCAGGCCGAGAAATTCCGCGACAAGATCCGCCCGCCCACGGATACCCAGAACATGCGCGTCACCGTCATCCCCGCGCCGCCTCGGAGGGGCGCCGCGCTGGAGCAGCTCCTCGAAGAGGAGGAGCGAAGCAGCAGCGATGACGTCGGTCGCGCACACACGAGGAGTCCGAGCGGCGGTGGTCTGTCGGATCAGGCGGCGACGAATCGGGATCCGAATTTCGTGGCGCCGCCGATGTGGCCGGGTGTTCATCCGAGGCTGGAGTATGCAGAGTCTTCGCGGACGGGGTCTACTGATTCTTCTTCGCCGTCGAGGGCCGGGTCTAGGCCTTCGCATGGGAGATAGCCTGCGGTGACTACTTCTCTCCGTTTTACCGACTCCTCTTCTTTTTCCTTCATTTATCCGTTTATTTCTTCTTATTATTATTTTTTTATTATTATTTTTGGGCTGGGACACTCTTCTGGGAATAGGTTTAGAAAATCCTGGGACTAATGAGCCTGGCGTTTCAGGGCGGCAACCATGGGAAAAAGGGTTGCTATTGTTGCATTTATACTTGAGGGGGACCTAGTCTTTACAAAAGCTTCAATGTTATGTTGCGCGGTTGGAGGATTGATATACATGAAGAACATGTTCTGGCAGGAAACGCCTGGCCTTTCAAGTTCCGGGGGATACAATACTTGAAAACGGTATTATTGAAACGATAATTAGTACATATTTTCTTGAGGAGAGGGAAGGTTTCGAGCAATGAAAACGATACTTGTATTTATATGATTTTTATATACCCATTTGGGAGAGGGGACTGAATTGAAATCAACAGGCACATCCTGCAAGCAGTCCTTTTCGTGATTCCTGTGATGAACAGGTCCCTTCCTGGAAGCTTCGGAGTCGTCGTTCATTGATAGCCTCGACATTCAGTCGCATGCCCAAGTCCTCCGAGTTCGATAGTCCACTCTAACCAAACAAACCATCTTCTTCTTCATCATCTCCGCCAGACCATTCCATGTACCTATCGGAATTCTCGAACCGGAGCTCAAAGCCCTCTCTAGAAAGTCTCTTCTTCATCACCAATCCAACCGCTCCCTCCTCGTCCTTGTTCAGCTTGGCTTTAGCCCAATCGCGGTCCGACTCGTTCCAGCCTCGCAATCTAGCCAGGCCAAAGTCAATCATGAACACCCTGTAACAGCCGCTACTGTTGCGCTGGATGATAAAGTTGTCAGGTCGAACATCTCTGTTAAGGACGTTGTGGTCGCCGACCACCTGGACGATGGCGACTGCTTGATCGACGATGTCTTGCCATTCAGATTTGGGCGCGTGATCTTGCACCTTCGATAGGGAGAAACCGTCGATATACTGAAGTAAGATCCCCTTGACGTAGAACAGTTCTGTAGTGTCGATGTGGCTGATGCCGGTGTTCGGGAGTGAGAGGTCGAGTTGGACGCGTGCTAAGAGGCGGGGAACCAGCTTCCCTTGGATGTCATGAAGGGTATCGTACACAGTAGTTTCAGCGTCGAAGAGCTTGTGAACTTGGTCAGTCAGAAATGTTTCGTTTTGGCCATCGTCCCAGGTCTCCTCAGTGTCGTCTTCAAAATTGGGGATGGTATGGAGATTGTGAAGAAATTGGCGTGCTGCGCCTGTCCGGACGGCGTTGATATACTCATTTTCCGCGTCCTTCGTCCACGGGTCGATTCCATGATCGCGCCGAAGTTGCTCTGAGAAGCGCCTGTCGTAAAGCTTTAGAAACACCGGATTGTTGGGATAACTTTCGCCCAGAAGGTCTACGATCATGCAGCAAGAAAGCGTGCGGGGTTTCAGGAGCTGCCGGATTTGTGCACGGACTGTTGAGGCCGAGAGCGTTTCGCTGGGATCGGGAATAACGCTCAAGGTCAAAACTTGACCAACTTGATAATCTTCAACCGGAGAGCAGGAAGCCATCTCTCTTAACAAAATAACGTAGAACTCTTGTGGTTGCAGAGACGAAGGCATGCGACCGAAATCGAGAGTGTGGGTGCCTGGGGACAGAGCGAGCGTAGATGCGGAGGACAGTGGCCGAGGCACTGTGGACGGGCCAGATTTAGCTGGCACGAAGTGGACCTTCCACGGGAGCTGTTTATTAATAGACGGCAGCGGCTAAACGGACCCCAGTAATTCGCGGAACTTGTGCTAGGCAACGGGCCACGACCAGATGGGCGCCAAATGACACAAGTCATGGCGTCGAGAAGGTCATCACATCAATCGCCCTGTTAAATTGCCCAGTTTAAATGGTAAGGTTGCATACCCCTGCTTCCGATGATACGAAACCTACCCGGCTCTCGATCAATTGGACTATTAGAATTAGATCGTTCTTTTACGGTGACCCTACTCTTTTTCCTGAAACCCAACACAAAGCGCTTAGCCGAGCAGGCTCTACGTCTGTCCCATCGTCAACCAATAGACCGTGAACCAACAGACCATGAGCTAACGCCAACGGTCCAATCTATTCTGAGAGTCGGGCCGTAAAAGAAGTATGGGCGATCCCACCATGAGCCATAGACTCTAAAATTAGTACCAACAGTCCAATCGATTTGAAGAGTCGGGTGATCGTCTGCATGGGATGAGACGCGGGGCATGGCAAGTTGGCTATGCTGGTTGTCTTAGGTTTCGTGAAGGAAACAGGGGCAACCTTACTGTTAGCCAACGATGCCAACAGTCCAATCAATTCCAAGTCTCGGGTGATCATGGGTATAGACCTGCAACTGTGGAAAGGCGGCTAAGCGCTCTGTGTTGGGGTTTGTGAAGGAAGAACGGAATCACCATAAACTAACAATACCAACAGCCCCACAGCGAACAGCATGCTTGTGCCCGTGCAGGATTCTCAAGAGCATCTGCTGATGATAAAATGCGGTCTTGTTTCCTCCAAGTTTGCTGATTTCACAGAAGACCAGATAACCTTATTCCGATAACAAAACTATACATCAGCGAATTCAGCGTCCCATAGCTTCACTTTCCGTTGTCCACTTCATTTCCATATCATCACATTCAGTCTTGCCACCATGGTTAGTCTCCACCTTCCCCAGTCTATGCTGTGTGGATGGCTTCTCCCGAACAGTTATTATACCATTGTCTCGCGTTCGGCACTGCCTATCAATCGAAGTCGAGGGTTACGAACCGGAGCTAATTCATTTGAGTAGGGTAAGAAGCAGACCGTTTCCGACTATGTCAACAACCTCGACGCCAACAGTATGACGGGAAACTGGGTGCCCGTTGGGCAGTGGCGGGATGTACACGGCGACTGCAAGTCTAGTACGCGTGGAAAATGGACGATGAAAACCATGCAGACGTCCTCGGGAGAATACAAGGTCAAGATTCTAGAGAGAGGGAGTGAGATTTGGGGGAAGACATACGCTGCCGAGCCGTCGTTTTCTGACCTCGTTTCTGATGCCCAGAGTGCTCTTGGCTAGTGAACTGCAGAGATGGTTAGGGTTGGGCTAGGGCTGGTGGCTCGCAGATGGAGCTGTCCTCACGGTCTCTCCATATGCTGGCCTCTAGTCTTGCAGGGTCGGGATAGAAAGTCAAAGTGCGGACCAGCTCTAACAGTCGCTATTTCCGAATCATGTCTACTTTGTTTTTCTTATTCCTAGTATCGAGCGGTTAGTCGTATTTCATTACGGATCTATTCCGAACACGTTCGCTTCCATCCTAGGTTCGATCATGTCGTGACCCTTTAATCACAGCCCGGATAGCTTGTCCTCTGGTTTGGCGACATGCGCCCCTAACATGGCGTTCGTCCTCAGTAGAAAACTGGGGCCTTTCTCTCCTGCTAGCTCTCAATAATTGGATGCGAATCCAACCCCTTCCTAGCATTCTGGACACCGCCTCCAGCTAATGCTTCTTGTACTTGCAGTAACATTTTCCGCAGGAAGCATAAGCCTCCCCCAAGTTAGAAGAAAATATTATTCCGGAAGGGCCGGATATTTTCATAGGTGTCGGGCGCCGAAGGGTCGTTGAAGTTTCCAGGTCGTTGCGCCTCAGCAGTGAGCAGAAGTTTTCGAACGTCAAATCCCATGCATGTCGAGCATAGCTTGCTGGAGCCGGTATGCATGCTGAAAGCGGGTTTCAGGACATCCCGGGACGCGAAGTAGTTGCAAATACGCTGTTTGGGGGACTAAAAGCCAGTGGCGTGCAAAAAGTCTCAGACAACTCTCACTGGCCCTTCAGGAATGCAGGGATATTCACACAAGCCCTATTTGGCTAGCTTTGCAGGGGTCAGCGCCAGAGTAGGGACAACTTCTTGGCATTTTGCCACTTACAGTAGCAAAGGCGACGATGTGCCTGACTCTTATTGACCTGACCATGGCAATAGTGCAACACAATAGCAACGCAATGCATAAAGCTGGGTGGTTTTAGTGCAATATTCCTGGTAGAGTGGTGCTATCTCCAACAGGCTCTCGAGTAATGGCAGCTTGCTAACCTCCTGCCTCTTTGATAAATGTAATAGCACCTGATGTCTTCTACGTCCCCGCTTCATGTCCTCATTCCCTTCACAGACGGCTATTGACGGACATAGGGAAGAACGTTATTCCGCGAGTACCCAGCGCCAGCTTTAGGCGTGTTGTCGAAATCGCCCACTGATATTAGACGATGACGAAGGCGGGGTCACTGCGTGCCAAAATCCAGGGCAATCAATCGGTCTCTCCATTTCCGCCTCGGCGCATCGCCTTAATACTCGCTATTCGCATATAAGAAAAAGAAGCCTGGTGGCTAACGGCCAATCGATGCCTCCTTCCGGAACCGACTCAGAAGGCTTGGGGACTAGTGCCGCACCGAAGCGAAATGTAGAGGTCCTTGTCACTGGTTTCGGCGTGGGTTTTCGTCGGGAATGTGAGCTGTTGACATTTTCTAATACGAGATGGAATAGGCCTTTGGCTCGATAAAAGTCAACCCGTCGTACGAAATTGTGTCGCGTCTGCCTGACCAAATATCATACGACGACAGTAATGGCCCTAGTATTACTGTCCGGGCTTATCCCGAAGCCATCAAGGTTACATATCGCAATGTGTTTCGTCTCATACCCGAAATATACACTGCCCAATTCCCAGAAGTCAAATTCTTTGTCCATGTCGGCGTCAACAACTCGACAAGGCGCTTCCAGTTAGAGCGTCGGGGGAGGAAAGGGCCCTACTCAGAAGCCGATGTGGAGGGGGAGAAATTCGATGATGAATGGGAGAATGACGATAACGAATGGGGCAGAGTGCCAGACGAGATAAAAACCGAGATAGATGTGGACGCTATTGTGGAGAAGCTAAGCCGAGATGGGTACGTGAAGTATCATTTCGCTAATTCTAACCAGTTCACGATTCACGAAACCCCCCAAGCATTACTGACGAAGTCGCGTCCATTTTAGCCAGTGGGAAGTAGAATCATCGAACGATGCCGGTCTCTTTCTCTGCGAGTTCATTTATTTCAACTCCATGCTTATCGCACGACGTCTGAGAACTAGTCAGGGACGGCAGATTAGAGGCGTCTTTCTACATGTCCCGCCTTTCCTTGAGGAAAAGGAGCTGGAGAAGGGCCGCGACATTCTCGTTGAGATTATCAAGGAAATTGTCAAACAAGAAGAGAATCAAGAAGAGTCGTAATATGGGCTGGACCTCTGACCAGCCGATCTCGTCTCGTTAGGCCCGCGAGGTCCGGCCTGTCTACGTGGCGCGGTGACGATGAACAGAAGTCGGCCGATTCATAATAAGCCACCAAGTGTTTAAGCTATATATGGAGATAATAGGTGTCCCCTCAGGAAGCAGGCCGGAAAGCAGCTCTAGAAGAGCGGAGAGAAGGACAATATTGAAGTGGGCGTTACAGCTTGTGGGGATAGATTTTCAGTGCTTTAATTATTCCCCCGGCGGCAATTCTATCAATACCTCGTCTTTTCCGACATATCTCGCCTTGAGTCTTCGACTCCTCCCCTGGTGCCTCTTTTCGTAAGGTTCTACTGGTCAGTCCTGCTTCTTTCTTCTGGGTTCGACTTTTGCCTTGTGTGCGACCATAGGTCGCTTTGATATCAGAGAGAGTCCAAGTGTAGTACGCGGCGAGCGCTGGATTCTGTTGCCTAGCCCCGTAGCATTATTATATCAATGGACCTGTGGAACCCTTTTGTCAGTTAGAAATCAGAGGAGTTGTACTCTCTAGGACGAACATACATGAATACAAAGATTGGTCATTAAGAGATTGAGGGATATCTCTCGACCAGCCAATCAGTGGGGCTATGGATGGCACATGTCGGGGAAAATATGACGGCGACAGACCCCTTCGTCGCCAACCCTGTGCTGCTGCGTTGCGCCTTGGAGGATATTACGGAATCATGCAGATAAAGGTTAACACAACGGAGCCCTTCAATTGTTTCTTCACCTCTGACCACTCCTTCGAAATTTGCCAGCCCTTCGTTTGCCTTCCTCCATTTGATCAAGGTCGCTGAGCTTGATAGAGCCTGATACCATCAACCTGTGTGATAACTAAGAGGATCATCGAAAGCTGTGCGGTTCTACAAGAGACAAGCATCTCATTCAATTAACCCTCGAAGCGCAGGACCCATTCTCCAGATCTCCCTGAATAGAGGCGAAGAGTGAAGGTATTAATATCATTAAGGTGTGCGAATCCAAGAATTTTCCAAAGCTTCCTTGGGACTTCTTGTTCCACTGTCAACCGGATATTCGGATTGTTCTGACTAATCGTGATGATGAGGGGGCAAGGGGCAACAGGTTTCAGGAGGAGGAGATATTCAGAAAGTCGTACCCAGCATCGAACATACCTTCTATTTTCCGGGTATCTCTTATCTAAAGTTCTGAAAGTTGAGCCCTCGTATTCATCCATCAAGTGGAGCCGTCACACAATGCCACCAAACCAGGGCCTAGTGCATCTCCAGGAGTATGATGTCGAAGACTCTAACGTTGAGCTTATCGGCTCCGATATTGACCACAAGGTCAAGTACAATTCCGCATTGACGGAGCCTGCCTGGAATGACGGCAAGATCGGAAACACCACCGGCCTTTTCATCTGGCGCATCGAATCCTTTGAGGTTGTCCCTTGGCCTGCCGAGAAGTACGGAAAGTTCCACACTGGCGACAGCTACATTATTCTCAATTCTATCAGGGTTTCTCAGAATTCCGAATCGGAGGAAAAGTTTTTCCACGATATCTTCTTCTGGCTCGGCAGCGAAACAACGCAGGACGAAGCTGGAACAGCGGCGTATAAGACCGTCGAGCTGGACGAATTTCTACATGGAGCCGCAACCCAACATCGTGAGGTAGAGAGAGAGCCCTCGGGGGAATTTTTACAGCTGTTTCCTAGACTTACCATCCTACGTGGCGGTGTACGGTCCGGATTCAGGCACGTCGAGGAAGAGGAAGAGAAGGAAGTTATCATTACGTTGCTGCGTGTATTCAAGGCATCGTCAGGTGGCATTGATTCGACCGTGGTTCATGAGGTTGAGCCGAAGTGGCAGAGCTTGGACGATGGGGACGTTTTCATTCTGGACCACGGAGACAAGATCTGGGTGTGGCAGGGTCGAAAGTGTAGCCCCATGGAGAAGGCCAAGGCGGCCCAGGTCGTCCACGATATGACGCTAGCGAAACATGTCCCGGTTGAGGTACTTGCGCAGGAAGAGCCTCGATCGCGGTGCGTGGTGGACCTCCTGGACGGTAAAGATGTTTCCGCGACTTCGTTTAGCGCCCCTCGCCCAGTTTCGGCCTCTGGAAACCAGGAGCCAGAGTTGGATGTGGACAGGAAACTCTTCCGAATTAGCGACTCCTCGGGAACACTCACCTTCGAACTTGTTAATGAAGGTTCGTCAATCAATCGATCTGATCTTGATGGTTCGGACGTCTTCCTGCTGGACACGGGGCGGTCGATCTGGGTCTGGCAAGGCCTCAGCGCCAGCCGAACAGAAAGGGTAATGTGGATGGATGTGACCCAGGCATACGTTCGCAACGTCAGAGCTGCGGCTATTTCTGCGCAGCCGATTGCCAAGGTTGCCGAAGGGAACGAGTCTCCTGCATTCTGGAAAGCCATTTCTGCGGCCTAATCACGGCTGAGATTGTGGACTGGGAATTTGGCCGGCGTGCAAGATGATGGATGGAATTTCACACTCGCCGAATACACATTTCCCTGACAAGATGGAAAGTTTGGAGATAGGAGCGGAATACTGTTACTCGATGAAAGGGACCTGCGGAGGTACTGAATCTACTTGTCCAGAGAAAGAAAATAAACTGAACAAAAAGTTTGCGGCGATACCGCAAATGACTAAGTGAACAACAATAATAAAACGCAGCAACTGAGATGATTTATGGGAGGCGATAGTGTAAGATAGCAATTGGGCCTGTCCAGCATCCGGATTGCGGATTTGAAGCGACAAAGCCCGTCTGTCTGCCACCTTTGGTTTCGCAAATCGTTCAATGCGAAAAGCTAGCTATTCATTGCATGTTCCCTTCATCCGCGGGAGGTTTCGAGGACCCACAGGAAAAGACGCTCGTTGGCCTGAAAAGGGCTGAAGACTGTGCGCTGCGTTGAGAAGGCGGATAGGACAGATTTTTCGGGGAAGCGAAGGGGTGGGTCAACGAGAATCGAGGCGCCGACGAGGAAGAAGACGTGAAGCTAGTCATGGATCAAATCGCGAACCTTCATATTAAGTTGTCTTGCAGGTCTCCCTGGTAGTCATCAGGTGATGATACAGACCTTCAAGTGAGCAAGTGCGGGTGGAACCATCCTTATGTCACAGAACGAAAAGGCGCGGAGTGGCGAAACGGATCGGGATGTGGGGATGTGGGAGATGCGGGCACCAGTAAGTATTGTGGGCAGTAAGCTGAAGGTGGGTATCGCTAACCCACGGCTTCAAGATCAGATCTGAAGCACGGCATATCGAAAGTAAATGCATTCTGGCCTAGACAATCATCCCCATGACTTCACCTATATATCTTGGTCTAATGGAATTATCTATTTGCTGCTCGGCGCTGCTTTCCGTTGGCTCTTATTTGACAAGTATTCCTCTCAAGACCGAAATTACAACGAATTTATTCCAGTGTTCAGAGGAGAAGGTAATAATCAACGGCATTAGTCACCCATCGGATCGGGTAGATGATCCCGATGATATGATCATTTATAATTCATTGATAATAGGAGAATGAGATTCTATTTAGCCAAGCTTCTCCCACGAGTCATTGCTTTTCACGACGTGAAGTACAGCACCTCACTTTGTACATTTCTAGCAATGGAAGCTTTCGAATACGCTGCCAACCCTTCTCGGGTCGTGTTCGGCAATGGGACCATCGCAAAGCTTCCCGATATTCTCTCCGAACTGAAGCTGTCTCGCCCCCTCCTCCTGTCGACTCCGCAGCAGATTGGACAGGCCGATGGAGTTAAAAGCTTGCTCCGGGGAGAGGTTGCGGGCGTCTTTAGCGAAGCTACTATGCACACGCCATTAGAGGTGACGGAGCGGGCGGTTGAGTTTGCCAGATCGTCCAACGCGGATTCGGTTGTTTCAATTGGTGGTGGTAGCACCATTGGCCTCGGTAAAGCGATCAGTGTACGGACGGGGCTTCATCATATTGCCATCCCCACCACCTATGCGGGCAGCGAGGTCACGCCAATTTTAGGGGAAACATCCGGCGGGCTCAAGACAACTCGTTCAGACCCCAAGATACTACCCGGCACCGTCATCTACGATGTAGATCTTACGTTGACGCTGCCAGTCGGACTAAGTGCGACCAGCGGTGTGAACGCGATTGCACATGCGGTCGAAGCGCTTTACGCCAAGAACGCCAATCCAATCATCAACATGTTTGCCCAGGAGGGCGTCAAATCACTCGCCGCTTCGTTGCCGGAAATCATCAAGGAACCAACCTCGCCAGCTGCACGATCAACAGCGCTTTACGGCGCCTGGCTCTGTGGCGTTTGCTTGGGAAATGTTGGGATGTCTCTCCACCACAAGCTCTGCCACACGCTTGGTGGAAGTTTTGGCCTGCCGCATGCCGAGACACATACTATTGTCCTCCCGCACGCCCTGTCCTATAACGCCCCCGAAGTACCTAGAGCTATGGAGAAGCTGGCGGAGGTGCTCCCTGGAAGCAATGGAGACGCTGTGACGGGTCTCAATGCGTTGCTAGACAAGCTAAATGTAAAACGGAGCCTGAGGGATTTTGGTATGAAGGAGAGTGATATTGACAAAGCAGCTGACATTGCTGTATCTAAACCCTACTGGAACCCTCGGGGAGTCGAACGGGAGGCAGTGAGAGAGCTCATTCGGCGGGCATGGGCAGGAGAGCCGGCTCGTGCCGACCTGTGATATAGCTACAGCGCTCTACTAGGAATATCTCCTTGTCTCTCTGCGGCAAGAAAATCAATTTGTATTGTTCTAGTTTTGAGGATATTCGGAAAAGAACGCTCGAATCTCAGGGTAGTGTTTTCCATAATACAGATTAGACAAAAACTTCATAGCTCAAATGTCGAGAGAAATGATAGACCACCGCATAGGCGAAGAAGCACGAGGAAATTTTGCTAATGACGGAATTTCGGAATTCCCGATGCTCACAATCTGCCCCCTCATTTAAACTCTAGACGTTCAAACGGTAGAATTTGGATCTTTCTATCT